TTTTTTGCACCTACCCTTGGAAAATTGTTCAAATTTCGGCCGGTGTTGGTTGAAAAAATACTCTTTGTTAAAAAAAAAAAAAAAATGCTTATTTTTTTTTTTTTTTTTTTTTTTTTACAAAAGCGTTTTTTGACACCTACCTGTGGAAAATTGTTCAAATTTCGACAGGTAGGTGTTGAAATTTGGGTTTTTTTTTTTTTTTTTTTTTTTTTTTTTTTTTTTTTTTCTTTTTCGACACGTTGGTGTCGAAAATTGACCAAAAATCGACCTGTATGTGTCGAAAATTGCCGACGGGTTTCAAAAAAAAAAACTTCAAAATCGACTTCGAAGCTCAAAAAAGACATCGATACTTACCTTAATGGGTTCTCTTTCCATATATACTACCATATTATTGTCTTATAACTCCATTTTATAAGTTTTGTGAGGTTTTGATTTTTTGAATTTGGAGATGTTTTGAAGGATTTAAGAAGATGAAGAAGATAGGGTTTAAGGGATTTGAGTTTGGGGAGGAGAAGAGAGGATTTGTTTTTCTTTTTTTCCTTGGTATTGAAGTGAGGAATAAAAAAATTGTTTGTATAAATTGTACTATGGTTGATGAAGGGCATTTTTGTACTTTGCTAGCATTTTTTATTTATTTATGGTTTTAAATTAAGAAAAAGTTGTAAAAACTTCTATAAAAAATGGTTTTAAACTTGGAAGTATTGAAGTGAGAAAAAATTGGGATTTGTTTTAGTTGCCCCCTTTTCTTTTTCCTTTTATAAATGTGGTGAAGAACTGTTAGTAAATTTTTTTATTATTTATTTATTATTATTAATTTTCCTTTTTTCTCTAAAAATACCAATAAATCTGGGATGATTTTCAAAAGTGGTAATCAATCGGAAAGATTTTTTGAGAAACCTTGTCCGTTGCGCAATCAATAAAAGTGAAGCAAATTTTTCAAAAGGTGCTGAATTTTTTTACTAGCCATTGACATGACATGACTAATGGTCTATACTCTATAGTCTATACGATACATACCCGAGCATAATCCCATCTCCAACAGTTGTTTAAAAATTGATTGTGTATATCTATAATTTGAGAGGCGAACAGTGTTATGCAACACCACTTTTAACATCACACTCCATAAACATTGTTTATATTTTACACTGTTATCATATTTTATAATTTTACAAAAAAATTAGTTTTAAATTAATTTTAACAACTATAATTTTAATTTCATATGAGTACATATATCTTGTTTTAGTTTTATACTCAGGGAACTTGTTGGGAATTAAAATATATTGGAAATGATAATTTATGTTATACACACGTATATTGTAAAAAAAAAAACTTTCTTTATTTTATTAATAACAATTATAGTTTATATATGGAAACAGTGCATTGTAAATTTAATATAAAAAAAAATAGCACTAATGGAGTTTTTATTATTCTTTAATTTTACATAATTTGTTAAATTATAGTTTTGGTTTCTCAATTTTGGATATCCAAAGTCAAAATCTAAACTTTTTTGCCTTTTCCCATTTTATTGTTGGAGATTTGATTTTGGGTTGAAAATATGTAAAAGATGTATATTATTATAGGTAGACATTATCCTCTTGGAGATGCTCTAAGATGGAGATGCTCTAAGATGTATCTGTTGCCTTGTAAATATCAGATTGCAGTGACATTCGAAATTATTTTTTTGCACAAGATAAATACAAATTAGAGAACATTCCATATAATTTATAAGATTATGTTGAATTTGACACCATAAGGATGAACAAGAATTTGGAGATGATAAACTAAAAACAAACTCGAGCAAAATGATGGGGTGATTAGACTCAACTCATTTGCACTTTTACCTCGGAGCCAAGTTTGGGGAAACTAATATTCTTTTAATTAAATTCAAATATATGATATGAATTGTGTAACAATGTATTAAACGAAAAAAATACATAAATGATAAATAATTAACACAAAAAAAAAAAAAAAATCAAAATTTCTGTACATGTCGAATAAGGTTTTGAATATTGCCGTCTGATTAAAATAAAAAAAAAATAAAAAAAAAAAAAAAAACATTTGCAATTATGATTTTGTTTTGGTAAGATTTATAATATCTTTTAAGAATTCAAATAATTATTGATGTAAGAGCATCTCCAACCGTGTAGGTTTTGGAGAGGTAAAAGCTAAATTATAAATATTTTACCATCTCAAACTTATAAAACTTGCTCCAACGGAGAGAGCTATAATTTAGCCGGCTGCTGAATTCAATGACCCAGCTGGTATATATACCAGTTAACTATTCACATATGGTATCCAATATATTAATAAAATAATGCAGCCCCACCCCCACATTTTCACTATTCACGTGTAGTCAGCCTTTTTTTCCAAAGCCAAAGTCTACATTTTTTAAGTTTATTTAATTTAGTGTGTTTTTTTTTTGTTTATCTAATACTTACCTGATAATAATAATAATAATAATAATAATAATAATAATAATAATAATAATAATAATAATAATAATAATAATAATAATAATAATAATAATAATAATAATAATAATTATTATTATTATTATTATTATTATTATTATTATTATTATTATTAATTTATGTAAATTTTATTATATAGATTTATCGAAAGAATACATATTATTTTGCATATTATATATAAGATATCAAATATATTAATTGAAAATACTATTATAATCAAATAGTAAAAAGTAATAAAATATAATAAAATGCTAAAATATAGATGATATGGTTGGAGCAAGACAGTAAAAGATGAGCTGCTATAGCACTGTTCATCAGCTATTATAGATATAGCATTCCAATTTTTAGCCTCTAACCTTGGAGATGCCCTAACATATTCATTATTCCATATCATAAAAAAAAAAAAAAAAAAAAAGCGGGAAATTACAAACAAGAGATGCCCCACTTGATTGTCCCATCATCTACTCCGATCACACTACTCTCCCTCTCTCTCTCTCTAGACTCTGATTCCACTTTCTCTCACTTCCCCAAAACTCAAACTCCAAAGAAGCCATCATCATCACATGGGTTCTTCTTCTTCTCCGTACAATCAAGACATTCGTCTACCCAAAAAAGTCGAAATGACCATCCAAACAATTTGCCTGGAAAAAAACCAGCCGCCGCTGAAGAATTACGCCAGGAAAATGCTGGCGGAGATCGGGGAGCAGGCTTCAATGGAGGTTTTGACGGAGATTTTATCATCAAATCAACCCATTAAAAGCTTCAGTGGGTTCGTCTCCTTTATGGTCAAGAAAGATTACCCGGTGCAGGCCGCCGCCGTGCTCGCCGCTTACGATTCTTCCTCCCCTCAGTCTCAGAAAATGTGGTCGCCTTCTTCTACTTCTCCCCACACACGGAGTAATTCTATCGCCCTAGTTTTTTTTTTTTTTTTTTTATCTGGAATTTTAGCATTTTTTTTGGGTTCTGTAAACTTGCATATGGTTCCTGCTGTACCCTTTTGAGCTTTTGGGTAATTTTTGCATTTTGATTGGGGTGGTGACGTCATACTGTGAAATGATGATGTCACCACATGTAATTTTGGGTGTGGTGACGTCATATTGTGAAATGCTGAGGTCACCACATGTAATTTTGGTGGTGATGAGAAAGAAGATGATGTTCTTGTTTATGTTTGTGCACGATTATTTCTATGCTACACCCGGTGAAGATTACACCGGGTGAATTTTTCACCGTTGATCTACATTCTACACACACCAATGTGTGTGTGTGTGTGTGTGTTTATATGAATGGTAACGATTAGTGGCCGAATTAATATTTATCTGTGTTGTATATGTTTGTGTCTATATTAGCACAGGTTTCTGTTTGTTGATTAGTGGCCGAATTAATGTTTTTCGACTCTAGTTCAAGATTTCTATTATTGTTGCTCTTATATAATAATAATAATAATAATAATTATCAGATGTACTTTGTCAGACGGTGAAAATTTGGAGTCCCCACTGTCGAGATTATCCATGAACTCCATCACATCAAATTTGCATAGTACAAGTCCCCAAAGTGTCGGTTGCCGCCTATCTTTCGAAGACGAAACTCAAGAAAACAGGAGCCCTAACTGCGGCACAAGTCAACCATCAGTTCCTGAGGTCAAAGAGCCTATCACAATCACTCAGCAGTTAATTACTCTGAACAAACTCGAATACAGGAAATTGTTTCTGGTTCTGAGTTACATTGGGAGGTTAGTCAGTTTCGCTCGTTCATTTCTATTATACATTTGGGGTGTGTGTGTGTGTGTGTGTTAATTTGTCCGAAACTAACGTAAAACTGATTGACTTGTTAGGGAGAAGTTGGAAGATGTAGTAACTGTGGAGGATGCTGATGAAATTTATAGAATGAATGAGTTTCCTATGCAAGCTTTCGAGAACAAGATTTGGAAAAAATACGGACAGAGATTCTACGACGAATCGGATCGTAGCCAGGTAAGTTGCACATGTTAGTATTTAATAGTCTTTCGACTATGGATTTATTACATATTAACATCTCGAAAAGGAATAGAAGTACTTGTGTGGATTTGTTTTTGCTTTTTCTTTTTTTTTTTTTTTTTATTACAAATTCATGATATAATAACCTTTGTAATAATTATTATGTCGTGTGTACCGTTTTGTGCTTTGTCTTCTTTCAGTATCTTGATTGGGATTCGGGGAAAACCCATGTCTACTACTGCCATGTTTACCAAGACGGAAGATATTATTTCAAGGTCAGTCCATCCTTAATTATTGTATTATTAAAATTGTGTAATATTATCGTTACTCGTTGTCCTAATTGACACAAAACATCGATTTTGAACAATACAGGGTCCTTATCTAAATAGTATGAAAACTCACCTACAAAGATCATTAGGAGATGATAACATATTAATAGTCAAGTTTCTAGAAGACGGTGCATTCGGCACTGGCAATATCGCTCAAGAAGGAATTCTTGTTGGTCTAAGGCGCTATCGGTTTTTTGGTAATTTTTTCGATTTTCATTTTCGTATTTTCATTTTTCAGCAAAAGTACATGTCGGAAGATATTTGTCATAACGTAATGCGTAAACTTCCATTGTTGATGTTTGTACAGTTTTTAAAGATGACCGTAAAAAGGTGAATAAAAACCAATCCGACAAGGAGAAAAAGGCTACTTACAGTAACGTTAGGTGCTTCTTTGTCCGAGTTGACTCGGTTTCACCTTCTGGTTACGATGAAAATTACATTTTGAGTAGAAAAACTATCGGCGAAGCAAGGCGCATGTTCATGCATATACACACGATCTCGAGTATAGAAAAATGCATGGCCAGGTTCATCTAATTACAATAGCCATTGAATATACTTTCTAAAACTTCATTTATTTTATCTTCATTATTTTTCATGTGACTCAGATTGTCCCTGATTCTTTCGAAGTCGATAAAGCTCGAAATCAATTTGGCTGCTGTTATAATCGAAAAAATTAAAGATATCCCGTTTCAAGATGAAGGTGGCTTTGTTATACACGATGAAGATGGGAAGCCTATTTTGCATACAGATGGAACAGGATATATTTCCGAAGATTTAGCAATTAGATGTCAAATATGTTTTTCTGCACCAAAGTATGGTACCGATGATCGTTTCGAGGTACGAAATACGATAAATAATTCTAATAAGAATACATTCTATAAATAAAAAAAATTCCTTTATGTGGGAATTTCTCTTTAATGTTTTCAGAAAAACGATCATTTTGCCGATTTTGCGGATATAGCTAGTCAAGTAAGAGAAGCAGAATCGAGGAATAAGGAGGCGGTAAATTGTTTTAAGTTAATATTGTTAGTTTCTTCTGTCTGTTCGACACTGTCTAACGAATTATTAATTGGTATTTCACTTTTTCTTTCAGCCTTTACTTGTACAATGCCGTATTTTCCACGAAGGTTATGCTGTCAAGGGAACTCTTCTTGTCAATAGAAAGGTATAGTCATACTCTAGCAAAGTTTTTTCGTATTTCGAAATTATGAATTTAATGCATCATAATAAAAAAAAAATAAAAAACCATTTAGAGAGGGTGTTGGTTTTTCGTTTCTCGAATTTGGGATTCATTGCTTAAATTAACACCGAACTACCGTATATACAGCTTGAGCCAGGAACAATTCAAATTAGACCTTCCATGATTAAGGTAGAAAGGGACCATAATATCAAAGTCGAAGAAGCTTTTAACTCACTCGAGATCGTCAATATCAGGTATCATAATTCGTTTTCTTCTTTTTTTTTTCTTGCTAAAGAAGAATCTTTTAGCCCTCTCAAATTTTCGAGCGGGAGTTTCTATGACATGGACTTTATGAAAGAGTAGTCGAAAAGGAAAGAATCTATAAATTTTTTTTACGATAAATAAAGATGAAGCTAATTATACTTTTTTCGTCATTAATTGCGTATTCTTGAACTCGTCTTTGTAGTCATAAACCAGGCAGAAATTGTCTTTCGAAATATTTAATTGCACTTTTGAGCTATGGCGGTGTTCCTCAAGAATTCTTTCTAAATTTGGTGGCAAACACTTTAGAAGATGCTCGAAATGTGTACACCAATAGACGTGCAGCTTTGAGAGGTAATTATCGAAATATCGTATAGTAAAATGTTTCCTTAATATATAGCATATATAAATGTGTATTTTATTTCTTGTAAAAAAAACGTATTCTCGTTGCAGTTGCATCCAACCATGCTGGACTAGATTATGGCTTTTTGGCGCAAAGAATGATTTGTTCGGGGGTGCCCCTCGACGAACCCTACCTCCAACTTTGTCTGTCGAATCTCGAAAACGGCGAAAAAACGAAACTGAAAACCGGAAAAATACCGCTCAACGAAAGCTTTTATCTGATGGGGACAGCTGACCCTACTGGCGTATTGAACAACGATGAAGTCTGTGTTATCCTGTATGTGTGTTACTAGTACTAAACAGAATCATTTTAGATTCCTGGGAATATTCTTTTCCAAAATTACGATTTTACCCCTGCACGCGTGTGATGTTTTTTGTAGTGGGAACGGGCAAATATCGGGGAAGGTGTTGGTGTACAGAAACCCGGGAATGCACTTTGGAGATGTTCATGTTATGGAGGCTGTTTACGTGAAGGAACTGGAAGAGTTTGTGGGTAATGCTAAATATGGTGTTTTCTTTTCGACCAAAGGCGCCACGTCAGCAGCTTACGAGATGGCGACTGGTGATTTTGATGGAGACATGTACTGGGTTTCTAGAAATCCCGAGGTTAGAGATCTTTTTTAGCATTTTATTTTTATTTGTTTTATGGAAAATAATGTTTGCGAAAATAAGAGAAATTTGTTGTGTAATAAACATTTCAGCTGTTGAAATATTTTAAAGCGAGTAAACCGTGGAAACGTGTCTTGTCAGCACCGGATTCGAAGAAGAAAAATCCGAAGGAGTTTTCGGATTTGAGTTAGAAAACGAACTTTTTCAACTATGTTTAGAAGCTAGGACACCAAGGTACTCTCTCTCTCTCTCTCTCTCTGTAGAAAGTTGTTCTGAAATTATTAGTTAATGTTTGGTGGCATTTGCGGCAGCTTCAACATGGCGACAGCAGCGGACAGCTGGCTGACGTTTATGGATCGGCTATTGACATTAGGTGATGATCGTACAGCTGAAAAGAAATCTTTGATGAAAAAAATGATTCGATTGGTCGACATCTACTACGATGCACTGGATGCCCCTAAGAGCGGCAAAAAGGTCAATTTTCAACAAATTAAAATACCGATTTTTATATTTCTGTTATTTTCTATAAGATATTGTTTCGAAACAGGTAAAAGTTCCAGAGGAGTTGAGAGCAGAGATGTATCCGCATCACATGGAAAAGGGGTCCGAATTGAGCTATCACTCCTCCTCGGTATTGGGTCAAATATATGACAGAGTCGACGCTTTGAAAAATGATTTTGTGCCGAGAAAAGGTAACGGACTAACGGTCGCTGAAATGATTCTATAGAGTGAATTTCAAATCCATAATAATATTATAAAACGAGAGTTGAGGAATTGAAATCATTGTCAAATACGCGGATTAGTTATTACGGATTTGTAATTCTTGGCTCAAATTTTCTTCCATCCGAAACGCAGCCTCTAATTAAATTGTTTGAAACAGAAATCTGGAAATTGCCATGCTTTGATGTTCCGATTCCCGAGATATACGTCAAAATGTGGAAATCCAGGTACGAAAGCTACCGCAGAGAGATGACAAAAGCCCTCAAATCTGGCAACGAATCAAGAAACGACGCTGCAGACGAGGTCATCAAAAAGTACAAACAGGTAAAAAAAAAAAAAATACAGAAAGTCGATTTTGTTTTTGTTAATCGCGAGATATTTAGAACGAGCATTATACTGCAGCTGTTGTACGAGGCTGGTGATATGGAAGAGAGTGCGAAGAGTAGTGAAGTGATATACGACGAAGCAATTGCTATATACCACGTAACATACGATTATGCAATGGAGCATGGTGTGGAGAAATGCAATTTTGCATGGAGAATAGCTGCTTCTGCACTCTGTAACCTCTGTGCATGGAAATTAGCTGGTCCGAGGGAAAAGCCTTTGCCGATTTTACCCTCTCTTCTTCGCGAATTGTTGACGTAAGATTCGATTAAGGAAATCCATGCTGTTGTTCAGTGTGTATAATATGTATGTATATATATATTGTCAAGATGTTAGTGTGATGAAGTTTACCTTGGTTTGGAAAAGTTTCAAATATTTGGGGGTCTAAGTGTAATTATTTCTAACCTCGGGGGAGGTATGTGTAAACTACTATTTTGTTGTTATTAATTTACAACTTTTGCACATATTTATGAATTATGAGAGCTAGTAAAATTACAGAAAAGCCCTTTTTCTTGTTTCTCTCAAGAGGGTGACCTCAGAGAACATGAAATATTGTAATTTTAATTTTGCATGTAAGCAAAGAAACAAGAGGCTGCCACGTGTCACTTTTGCTTGCTGACTAACTACTACAGAGTAATTTCATATGGCCTTCCACAAGTTAGTAATATATATAAATAATATATATGTTTATATATGTGAAACTGTGAAAGTGCGTGTGTGTGTGTTAGAGAGAGAGAGAGAGAGAGAGAGAGAGAATGGAGAGGGTGTTGAAGGAGGAGCAGAGAAGAGGAGGGGAGGAGTTGAGCGGAAGATGGACGGTTGGGGGAGGAGTTGCTGACGTGTACGGTGAGGATCGCGCCACCGAGGATCAGCTCGTCACCCCCTGGACCGTCTCCGTAGCTAGGTACGTACGTCCTTCCTCTGTATATATATATATATATCACCATATTAATTAGAGAGCTTGCTTCAATTTCGAATTGTTTGATTGAAAATATTTAAAATTCGATTTTCGATTTTTTCGACTGGGTAAAAAAAAAAAAACAGCGGTTACAATTTGCTAAGAGACCCTCGTCACAACAAAGGGCTTGCGTTTACTGAGAAAGAGAGAGATGTTCATTACTTGCGTGGTCTTTTACCTCCAACTATTTTATCCCAGCATCTTCAAGTAATTATTTATTATTTATTTATTTCATTCCTTTCCATTATTCGATTTTTCCTCCGTTATTTTATTTAGTGTAAATTGCACTTAACCCCCTGTGGTTATAAGTTTTAGTTTTTGCAGATGACCCCTTGTTGCTCGTAATATCAGTACATAACCCTCTTGTGATTTATGAGTAACTTCAGTTAATTTTTTCGTCAAACTTAACCGCATGTGTCAAACTTTATGGGGTGATCTTCAAAAAATGAAAGAAAAGAGAAAAGGGAAGCACAAGGGCTCATCTGCAAAAAAAAAATTACTTTGATTTTTGACACTAGTAGTTAAAGTTGACGGAAAAACTAACATAAACTACCCATCAACCACCACGAGGAGGTTATGTGCTGCTATTAAAAGCGTAAGGGGTCAGTCTGCAAAAGCTTGTAACTACAGGGGTTAAGTGCTATTTACTCTTTTATTTATTTAATATTTATTATCCACTTAATAATTACTATGATGATTGATTGTGTTATGTAATAATAACTTAATATCGACCAGGAGAAGAAATTCATGCACAGTCTTCGTCAGTACAATCTCCCTCTGCACAAATACATGTCCATGATGGAACTCGAGGTGTGTGTGTACCTCTTAAAAAAATAAAATTATTTTTTATTTTTCTTGATTTAAATTTAAATTTCCTCGATTTATAAATTTTAGGAGAGAAACGAAAGATTGTTTTACAAGCTTCTGATCGATAACGTGGAGGAGTTACTCCCGATCGTGTACACTCCGACTGTCGGCGAGGCTTGCCAGAAATATGGAAGCATCTTTCGGCATTCGCAGGGCTTATATATAAGCTTAAACGAAAAGTAATTATTATTTTTTTTATAATTGAGTTAAAAACTAGCAGTGCAATGTTTTTTATTTATTTTTTGTAATAGTTTTTTTAAATATACAGAGGAAAAATTCTCGAGGTTTTGAAGAACTGGCCGGAGAGAACAATCCAAGTCATTGTTGTTACCGACGGAGAGAGAATTTTAGGACTCGGTGATCTTGGCTGCCAGGTCACTGACATCAAATTCTTTTTTTTTTTTTTGCTTCTCGATTTTTTTCGTTTAGAGATATTTATGGTATTAAAAGGGTATTTTTTGATCTTGATTATTGATTTTCGGGTGTAATTTTACAGGGGATGGGGATACCGGTGGGGAAATTGGCCTTATACACTGCCCTAGGAGGAGTTAGACCTTCTGCAGTGAGTATCGAAACTAACTTCGATTCTTGAAAATAATTATTGTTATTTTTTATCATCCCACCATTTTGGTGCATTTAATTTAATTTTTATTCATTTAAAATATTTATTTATGTGTAGTGTTTGCCGATAACAATTGATGTTGGAACGAATAATGAGCATTTACTAAACGATGAGTTCTACATTGGGCTTAAACAAAAACGAGCAACTGGAAAGGTTATATATTTTTTTTACTCATTTTTTTCGAAGTTATTTTTATGTTTAATCGAAATGACAAGACGTTTTTGCTGTGGTAATTTACAGGAATATTACGATTTCTTACACGAGTTCATGAGTGCCGTCAAACAAAATTACGGTGAAAAAGTTCTTGTACAGGTCAGTAAATTAATATATATTAATTACTGTTCATATTAAGATTAGTAATAAATAAAAACTTTAAAAAAATGGGAATTGCAGTTTGAGGATTTTGCAAACCACAATGCTTTTGAGCTGCTGTCGAAATACAGGACCACTCATTTAGTCTTCAACGATGATATTCAGGTAATATGGTAATATAAGTTATTAAACCGATATTTTTTTTACGAATTTTTGTCTTATGTGGTAATATTTTCTCGAGTGTTGTGTGTTGTTTAGGGGACAGCATCTGTGGTGCTTGCTGGGCTCATTGCTTCTCTTAAGCTGCTCGGTGGTACTTTGGCCGATCATAAATTCTTGTTTTTTGGTGCTGGAGAAGTAAATTATTTCTAACCTCGATTTTCTATCTAAGCTTCTAATTTTTCATTTTTATTATTTTGTTTGAAGAAAGAAATGAGTAAATTTATTTGACGTGAATTTCCTCGTAATTAATTGCAGGCTGGGACTGGTATAGCAGAGCTTATAGCCCTAGAAATGTCGAAGCAGGTGATTTTTTTTTTAATTTAATTTATTGACAAAAAGCATGCATTTACATTGCGAGATTCGCGAATTTGTGAAATCGTTATTTGTTATGTTTATGTTGTAGGCTAATGTTTCTGTGGACGAGACGCGCAAAAAGATTTGGCTGGTGGACTCAAAGGTAAGTGCCTAATTTCAAAATAGATAGGTATAGTGATTGGCAAATTCTCGTTAAATTTGTTTTCGTTTAATCATGTGTTTTATTTGCATGGGTTGCATTACAGGGTCTGATTGTAAATTCACGTAAGGAATCTCTTCAACACTTCAAGAAACCGTGGGCGCACGAGCATGAGCCTGTTAGCAATCTCTTAGATGCGGTGAAGGTGCGATTAATATTATATTTGCATTATTCTTTTTCAATTGCAAAATAATAGTCTTCTTATATACTTAATTAAGTAAATTGTTATTATTTAAATTCCAATAGGCTATCAAGCCAACCTCTTTGATTGGAACTTCTGGCGTCGGAAAAACATTCACTAAGGAAGTCGTTGAGGCAATGGCCTCCTTTAATGAGGTTCTCTCTCTCTCTCTCTCTCTCTCTCTCTCTCTCTCTCTCTCTCTCTCTCTCTCTCTCTCTCTCTCTCTCTCTCTCTCTCTCTCTCTCTCTCTCTCTCTCTCTCTCTCTCTCTCTCTCTATATATATATATATATATATATATATATATATATATATATAACGGTACGTAAAAGATGAGATTTATGAAGTGTTAATGTTACAGAAACCTCTTATTATGGCTCTCTCGAACCCGACGTCACAATCCGAGTGCAGTGCCGAAGAAGCTTATACTTGGACTAAGGTCAGATGAGTACCAATTTTTTTTTTTTGTTATACATGTATATTTAATTATTATTCTGGTGGACTAAACACGATTTGTATTCGTTGTTTTTGCTCGAAGGGCCGCGCCATATTCGCTAGTGGAAGCCCATTCGACCCCGTGGAATTCAACGGAAAAACATTCGTACCTGGCCAGGTTCTTGATTTTGCTACCATCTCCGATTTTGCATTTATACCTCGATAAAAAAATATTTCGATTAATATCAACTAACCTTTCTCTTCATATATTAAAAAAAAAAATCAGGCAAACAATTCTTACATATTCCCGGGACTTGGTTTCGGATTGGTCATCTCCGGTGCCATACGAGTTCACAACGATATGCTTCTGACAGCCGGTTCGTATAATACACACACACACGCGCACACACACACACACACACACACACACACACACACACACACACACACACACACACACACACACACACACACACACACACACACACACACATATATATATATATATAAGCATATAATTTACGAATTTTTTTGGGAATTGCTTTTTGCGGTTTGAAAATTGCTATTTGCGGTTTATAACAAAACCCCCCAAAAGAACACTTTATTTCACTAAAACCCCGAAACTTCCCAAAAAAATCCAAACCCCCCCCCCCCCCAAACATGGAAAAACTGTTTTTTCGAGCTTATTCGCTCACCTTGGGGGGGGGGAAAAAAAAAAAAAAAA